TCTATTAAGGAGGTTTACGGTACTATATCCCAGTGACTCACAGAGAAAAAAAAAACTTTTTTGAGACATTCGCGTTTTACAGAACTCTCCACTGGAAGAAAAACGGCAAAACTGAATTCTCAACGACACCCGGATCCTTGGCGTTCTTTGTTTTCAACGCAACCAACTTCGAGATCGTCCAAGGTGCGATGGAGGGTCCACCGATGCAACCCGGATGATTATTCCGCTCGAAGGATCTTCTCCAGCCAAAGGAACTCTCGATATGGAAAAGACCGAGGACGAAATGTTTTGTATGATAGCTGTCGTCGTCGTTCTCTTCTTTATTTTGTTGCAATTGCTGCGATCCAAGAGTACAAGCATAGTGAGTGATCCTCTAGCAAGATAAGGTTCTATTGACTAATTTTTAGGCAATACGAGTGTAAGACAGTTTGAAGGGACGATCAACGAAACCGCAGTCTAAAAGGCTCTTCGAAGAAGAGCACTTGAAATTTACAATTTTTCGCGTAACTCTTTGTACTCATATGTAACTTTTTAAATGGTAATTGTAGACATTTATGAAACTCTTTCAAAATAAATCTTTAAAAACTCAAAATTCTCAACTTTTCTTATCAGATTCATATTAAGCCTGTTAAGAGCTTCAAAATAAGTATAAACACGACTAGGTTTCGAGATGTTTGATTTTTGAGCTTAAAAGGATGTTTAAAGGAGCATGGACCATCGAAAAATCAAAATTTACGGAACCTAGTCTTGTTTATACTCATTTTGAAGCTCTCAATAAGGTAAACTCGAAAAACGTATTTTATTCGAGTTTGGACTAAATTGACCAAGTTATGACATAAACCAGTTTTGGACCGAAAATCAAAATCTTCCAAAATAGGTCGTGTTTATACTCATTTTGAAGCTCTAAACAATCAAAATTCTCAAATTTTTTCAAATTAAAAGAATCAATACTGAAAAAGTTATGGTCCAAACTACGTTCGGTCCCACTTCGCGTTTTTGTTGCGTATTTCTCAATGAAGGCATTTTTTGGTTTTTTTTTCTAATTTTTATGGGAATCCAAAATTTTACCGTACACCACTTATAACACACTCTTTAAATTTGTAATTACTTCCAAAGACACACACACACACACACACACACACACACACACACACACACACACACACACACACACACACACACACACACACACACACACACACACACACACACACACACACACACACACACACACACACACACACACACACACACACACACATAGAATTTGACCAGCAATTGCTCCTTTGCCCTCTGTTACATCTCGTGTCCTCCCACCTTTCTCTTCTCCTCGATTTGTATCTTGATTGGTTGCATGTGTGTTATACACCCCTTTGCGACAGATGTTACACCTTACCCACAGACACCACCTGCGCTTGGCTCCGCCCCCTCAGTCTGCCCCTATAAATACCTAGCATTTGTATTCATTCCATCCCTTCCCCAATATTTTTCCAGGCGACCTTCTATTTTATTGTAATGTTGTGAGTGTGAGTAGGTGAGGTGCGTTAGCAAAGAGTGTAAGGGTCGGAGAAGAATGTGAGTCGTGGCGAGGGTCATACCTTTATCCGGTCAGGGGTCCGGATTTCTAGAGGAGGGGGAAGTTGCGTGGGGCATCTACCCTCCAACCCCTTCTAAAGGTTCCCTCTAACCACGCAACGACACTCCGCTATCCCGCTCGGCGCGCGCACAGTTTAAATTTAGTTTTGAGTGATTGCGAGCTTGGATTTGGCTCGTGGGTGTTCTAGAGACTCTTTTAAGAATTTTAAGTGAGTTTGCTTAAATTCTAAGATTTTATTTGTTGTTTCTTTCTAACTTGTTCATAATAAACCGATTTTGTTACATTTCTTGTTGATTTTCTTCTATTTTATAACAGGAACCTGATACCCCGGACATACCGCGGGCAATTAGTTTTCAGTACACCCATGCCCGGTCAATCGTATTAATTAGACAGTCTTCTTCTCCACTGAGAGATTGTGCGAACACTTGATGAGTCTTCTCATGACAGCTAGATTTTGTTACCCCTTTTTGTACAGAAAAGAAGATGTGACGAGTGTTTGAAAGACGGATTTTTCTGAAATAAAAAAAATGGGCACTAGAACTTTGAAAACTCAAAATTCTTACTTTTTCTATTCAGATTCATGCTCAACTTGTAAAGAGCTTCAAAATGAGCATAAACACGACTAAGTTTTGTCAATTTTGATTTTTGAGTTTAAAGGGATGTTTAAAGGCGCATGGACCCTCTAAAAATCGAAATTTACAGGAACCTAGTCATGGTTATACTCATTTTAAAGCTTAAAACACGCCTAGCTCAAAAAATTGATTTAATTCAAAATTGAACGAAAACTGAACAGATTATGGGCGTATTTAGATGTCTATGAGGATCAGGGATAATATATAATGCTGTAACCTTATTCAGCTAGACTGAGAACACCCAATTTCCAGTTTTCTACAAATTTTGAGTTCAGAAACAAGTAAAATATAGGGAAAATAACATATTTATTCACCGTAATATCGTCTAAACATATAATGGACATATAACTATCCAATTAATCTTTTGCCTCATTATAATCCGTTTCTAGGTTACCCATTCCTTAATTGTGTTGTTGATCTGAATAAATTCTGAAGTGGCCGAGTCCTTTTCTTTCGAATTTTCTGTATTTCCTTTTCCTCCTAACAATTGTGGCCGGGTGATTATTTCCACAGCTTCCTCTTCCGCTTCATCAATTGAATCCAATTTTACCGAAAACTTGGTACTCTTTTTCAAATAACGACGGGCACAGTTTGCTGGTTGGTTCAGGCTTGAGACTTGAGAAGATTGCTCACTTACGAGATTCGATATACGTCCGTTTCTTGGAGCATCTTCCATCTCAAGACTGAACTCTTCCAGATCTCTGGCCAATCGTCCTCTGATATTGGAGACAATTGTTGCGATCCCATCTTGAAGGTTGTCGAGGCGCTTTGGCCGGAACTTTTCGAAATTTTTGAAGAAAATTGGCGTTTCGAGAAAAATTTCCACATTTCTGATTCCAAGAGCGGCCGAATCCAACACAGATGACTGCTTTTGTATTTGGGTCGATTGGCAAAAATGGAAAAATGTTTTTTTTCTTCTTGAATCCAGGAATAGTCCTTCAGCCAATTCTTCAATCTTCTTTGGTTCCAGCTTCTTCTTAATGAAGGACGAGTCGATTTGGGCTGTAATTACTCGTCCTTTCGATCTTGACATCGCCAAGAGGACAAACTGTCCATCCGCTTCAAAGAAGGGAATTATGACAGTTGTCGGCCTCGGATCGCGGAAACTCATGTAGTCGGAATGATTGAACGGCTTCTCCTTGTTTCCATTTGTCCATTTCTGGAAATCCGGAAAAAATACTAGGTTTTGTGAAGTTTGATTTTTGGGTTCAAAGGCGCATGGACCCTCGAAAAATCGAATTTTATGGAACCAAGGCGTGTTTATACTTATTTTGAAGCTCATAACAAGCCAAACTCAAAAAACAATTCTTCAAAATTAACCTAAAATTAACCACGTTATGGCCTAAACCATTTTCAATGCCAAAATTCGAAATTTTTCATAACATGGGTTAGGGAAAAAAAACCAGGCCCGCAATTAATTAATATTTGAACTCGTCTTCTTCGGAAATCTCAAGATATCTCTCCGAGTACTACGATCCTTCAACGAACGAATCGGTTGAGGAGTATTGGAAAAGAAAAAGATTCGAATACTGACTGTACTCACCAGCACTTTTCGTTTTTTGGGCCGAACCGGCCGGGCCGGAGAAAAAATAATCTCGGCCCGGCCGGTTGCAACCCTGGTTGTTTATACTCATTTTGAAGCTCATAACAAGCTGAGCATTAATCTGAATATGAAAACTGAATAAAAGTAACCTGACTCACCTTTCACAAACAAATAAAGAACACATCTAGCGCTCAAGAAGCAGTGACCTTTCAAAAACCAAAATTTCAGAGACTTTAAATTTTGGGATCCAAAAAGTTAGGGTCCAAAATACAGGAAGAATAGAATAGAATCAGAAAAATCAAATAGGAATACCTTTCCGACGTCCATGCAGAAGGTCGTCTGGAAACATAGAAATAGTGGGTACCAAGCGGTATATATACCCTTGGGGGAGGGGGGCGGAGCCTAAAGGGTACAACCAGGTGGGGTGGGCTGTCTTCACCCCACATGATGCTAGAGATTATTTTATTACAGTAATCTTGATGACCCCAATAAAGAAAATAAAGATAATTTTTCCCTGGAGGAATGTCCATATTTTGACATGGTTCAGGAGGAAAAATAGGAGGTCATTGAGATAAAACTACCGTATACACACTGTTTTTCTTACTGTTTTTTTAAACTGTAACGCGCTTCGCTAGCAATTTAATTAAAAATCAACATTATATTCTAATTTGGCAGGCCAAGAGCTTCAAAATGAGTATAAACAAGACTAGGTTTCGTAACTTTGATTTTTGAGTTTAAAGGCGCATTGTCCCTAGGAAAATCAAAACTTTGCAGGACCTAGTCGTGTTTATACTCATTTTAAAGCTCTTAACAAGGCAAATTCAAAAAACGTTTTGCAGTTGAATTTGAACTGAAATTGGCCGAGTTATGGTCGAAACAAAACTCAATGGAAAATTTGTTTGGACCCGACAATTTTGAAAACACAAAACGCCTCACTTTTCCTGTTCACATTCATTCTTGTCTTGTTTTGAGCTTCAAAATAAGTATAAACAAAACTAGGTTTCATAAATTTTGATTTTTTGATTTTAAAGGCGCATGGACCCTGGAAAAATCGAATTCTACGGAACCTAGTCTTGTATATACTCATTTTAAAGCTTTCCACTAGCCAAATCAAAATATAATGTTCATTTTTCATCAAATTGATATCTAGGTGTGTTTTGAGTTTTACCTCAATTACCTCCTATTTTCTCTCCTCTACCTTGTTGAAATTGATCCTGGGAAAAGCTTAAAAGAGGCCAGACACCAAAAAAAGTTTCCCTGATATTTTGCATAGAGAACCCCCATGAGGGGCTGAACTCATGACAGGCAGCTCAGGGGTACAGCGCCGCTACCGGCTGAGCTACGGGGGCGCAAACACGGCTGACGACTGATGACCTACATAAGCGCGGCGCGATTTCGTCCCCCAAACTGTCCCCCAAAATTTTTGCTGTCTCGCCTCCTTTAATACAGTGAATCTAAATGACGGCACTATCGCACCTGGTTGGATCCCTCAGGTGTAGCTCCAGGGGTAAATAAGCCACCAGATATCTACTAGGTACTGAAGATGTGACATTTCCCTCTAATAACATTTTTTAATGACAGTAATCCTGTGAAAAATTATAAAGGGTGTTTGTTGGAATGAGATATATAGGGTCATTAGAGGTAAAAAAAAAGGTTTTGATTGTGGGAATGAGGAAGGATGGTGGGAAACTCGATTTGAAATTTGGCACAGAGCCAAGTTCTGATGCGTCGAGAGTCGGCGTAATTTTTTGGGACCCTTAAATTTAAAGGCGCATGGTCATACCTGGATCACCCTTCCGCCATAGCGTATATTTTCGAAAATGAACGATTAAGACGTTCCTCCTCTTCGAATTTCAAAAAAAAGACGATGCGGCAAAACATTTTTATTCGAAGGATAAATAGGAAACGATTTGAAGAAATGGGGAATCGGAGTGAAAATTTGGGATAGGCATCTTCTCACTCGTCTCCAGAATTACGTTGTCGACCGTCGTTCCTTGGCTTTTGGAGTATGTAGTTCCATACGCATTGTCGATGTGGAACGTTTTGTGTGATGATTACATCTCTGGTTTGTACCTCGGTTTCTCTTTCGAATACTAAGATTTTTTGGCGCGCTTGTATTTAAAAAATGGATGAAACTCACTCTATTTTTAGAAGTGCCACCTTTCCTTGTTTCATTTGGCAACATCCGCAACCTGTGATGGCTGACCTGATAATTGGAGTAATATATTTTTCAGGAAAATCAAAACGAATGAATTTCCGACGTCCATACCATACTTGCGGACGGGCCCTGTCATAGTTTCTTTTAGGATTGATATTTTTTGACCAACTAAATTAGATATGGTAGAACTCGACGAGCACTACAAAATTATAATATTTAAAACACTGTATCATGTTTGTGAACAAAGTTACAGACTACATCCGGCCCGGCCCGCATTTGCAGCTTTTTGGCTTGTAACTTTGTTCACAAATATGATACAGTGTCTCAAATACTATCATTTTGTAGTGCTCGTCGAGTTCTACCATACCTAACTTAGTTGGTCAAAAAATATCAATCCTAAAAGAAACTATGACAGGGCCCGTCCGCAAGTATGGTCCATACAGAAGGTCGTCTGGGAATACCCAAACCACCAATTTTGAACCCATATATCTCGGCTCTTGTAAAAGATAACAAAAAGTTTTCAACCGACAAAATGTTTATCATAATATCACCAATATTTTGTTAGTTGACCTCTTTTTGATATCTTTTACAGTAGCCGAGATATATAACCTCGAGGTTGGCGGTTTAGGGGAGAGAGGGGATGAAATGGGATACAATTAATTCTAATTTTAGGTACCTGGGGGTATTTATAGGCCCGCGGAAGAAGTGGAAGACTATGCCGGTGGCGTAAGTTTAAGACGAATTTTTTTTCAAACTTTCCTCTTTGTGGGTTAGTAGTTACGATCTTTTTGATAGTAATCTTGTAGTTGCGGATTTCTCTTATTTTCAGGTTTTTCTGGAGTTTTTTTTCTGTCTTTTTTTGTGTGGTCCATACAACTTTTGAAAACTCAAAAATTGTTGAGTTTTCTATTCAGATTCCTGATAAGCTTGTTAAAAGTTTCAAAATGAGTATAAACAAGACTAGGGCCCCCTTAGGTCGTGTATTCCCACCCAATATCCTCCTGAACCTCGTCAAAATATGGACATTTCTCCTGGGAAATATCATCTTCTTGAAGTTTTCAAGATCACAGTGTAATAAAACAATAAAAGACACTGAATAGGTGAAGACGGCCCGCCCCACCTGGTTGTACCCTTTAGGCTCCGCCCCCCTCCCCCAGGGGTATATATACCGCTTGGTACCCACTATTTCTATGTTTCCAGACGACCTTCTGCATGGACGTCGGAAAGGTATTCCTATTTGATTTTTCTGATTCTATTCTATTCGTCCTGTATTTTGGACCCTAACTTTTTGGATCCCAAAATTTCTGAACATTTTCAAAAAAGTCACTGCTTCTTGAGCGCTAGATGTGTACTTTATTTGTTTGTGAAAGGTGAGTCAGGTTACTTTTATTCAGTTTTCATATTCAGATCCATGCTCAGCTTGTTAAGAGCTTCAAAATGAGTATAAACAAGACATAGTTTGAAAAATTTCGAATTTTGGCATTGAAAATGGTTTAGGCCATAACGTGGTTAATTTTAGGTTAATTTTGAAGTGAATTATTTTTTGAGTTTGGCTTGTTATGAGCTTCAAAATAAGTATAAACACGCCTTGGTTCCATAAAATTCGATTTTTCGAGGGTGCCATGCGCCTTTGAACCCAAAAATCAAACTTCACAAAACCTAGTCTTGTGTATACTCATTTTGAAGCTCTTAACAAGCTGAGGAGGCACATTCTATGGTCAAGGCTCTCTTCAATTACCAATTTCGTGTGTCCAGATAAGGATGGAGAAACAGCCGGTGATACTTCCGCAATACGATTCAGAGACATATTTCAAGTTGATAATGCCCAGGAGCTACCAAATGTTCTTCGGAAATAGAGAATTAGAATCAACAATGTCAAATCAACAACTGGATTTAAGAGAGAGGATCCTACATTTCGGTTCATTTCCCATAATTTCATGTCGGAGATTTCGAATTCGACGGGAAGGTTTGTGTGAATTTTTGATTTTTGGGTCATAACTCGGCCAACCTTAGTTCAATTTATATTTTGACTAAATATTTCAGTTTGGTTTGTCATTAGCTTCAAAATGAGGATAAACACGGCCAGGTTCCGTGAATTTCGATTTTTCAAGGGTCCATGCGCCTTTAAACTCAAAAATCAAAATCACGAAACCTAGTTTTGTTTATACTCATTTTGAAGCTCTCAACAAGCCAAATTGAAAAAAATTAATTGAAATTGAATTTGGACAAAATTTGGCCAAGTTATGGTCTTAACCAAAAATTGAACCTTTAAAAATTTTTTACTTTCCAGAGATCTTTCACTCGCAAATGGGTCAACGCAAATGGTCCGCCACTTTTTCAAATGGGTCAACGCAAATGGTCCGCCACTTTTTCAAATGGGTCAACGCAAATGGTCCGCCACTTTTGTGTTTGTCCAGTAGAGCGACTTTACAGCAAGTTTCAAAAAACTGCACATTCTGACAATTATCCATTCCTCCAGATCTCTTGCCAGTACGTGTATTTTCTTCTGACGTCACTTTAACCTTTTCTTTTTCACCATCTCGACTCTCTTCTTTTCGATATGCGCGCGCACATCAGTTTGGTTATGGTCTGTACAATGAAGGCCGATCTGCTGTCTCTGGTGACCCGGGTTTATGCACTAGTGTTGAGGGGCATCCTCCCACTATACCAACGAACGCGTCCTCGTTACAAACTGACCGCTCCAACCACCCCCCCCCCCTTTGACGCGTTTGCTGTGTGCATGACGCAGTTCTCGTGCGCATAGTCAATTCGCATTATTTTTTCAATCCAAAACGTTTTTCCCCTGAAAACTAAACATTCCATATTTCAGATAGCTTCAAATACCGGTCTCAGCAACCAGACACTTTCAAATCTTGTTTTTCAAGGCCAGTGCTACTGTTTCCGCAGATTTTCTGTGAGTTTTTTAAATTTGAGGGAGAAAAATCGATATTAAACCCAAATATTTTTCAATTGAGCACAATAAAAGAATAAAAATTCCGTTTTCCCAATAAAAAATTTCATATATCGTCATGTATCAGCTCAAAACCAAATTCTCAATATTTCAGTTGCCCTTCGACTGATGTGGTCACCGACAATAATTTTGGAATCCGAGTCACTTGACGATCCCAGACCTCTGTATGGATGGATTCGACATTATGACTCTTTCAAACCAGAAGATAATTGCCATAAAAATGAAGACTGATAGACAGAGAAAGAAGATTCGAACCAAGTTGAATGACGATCCAGAGCGGCTTCTATTCCAAATCAAGATCGCAAGACCATACCACTGTTTCAGAAGGGGATGCCAGTGGACAAGAAACCGAATGAGGTTAAAAATTGTCCCAAGAAGAAATGTGAGATATGCCCGACTACAAAACTACAAAACATCGGAATCGGTGGTCTCCGAAAAGTTGGTATCCGCAGAACAGGATTCCTCCCACACCCGGCAAAAACGATAAGAAGGTCTATGATACTGTAAGTCACCTTTTGGATCAAACAAAGTTTCCCGAAAGCGCATGAAAAATGCTGAAAATCTGTTTTCAGGCAATTGTACTATGAATAGTGGGCGACTGAAAACCGACCAGACAAGAAAAGTGCAAGATCTCCATCTAATTACTCATGTAGAGAAGATGAAGACAATGGGGAATACAGCTCTCTGGGGTAGAAACCTCGTCAGCCAGAACACCATCAGAAATACCTTTCGAAGTCGAAGAATGTATATGATACAGGACTCCTATAGCTCACACGATTGAGATGAACAGATTTCGCAATGTAAGGTTCTGGTCAAAATACTGACGAAACAAGAAGGCGGAAGCTTTTTGTGGGAATTTCTATATGGTGCTGCATTACCAGGTTCAATCATCAACTTCTGCGGAATCATCTCGAATGCTTGGACTACCACAATCGCCTCATGGATCACCGGCTGGCGGACATTCACTTCAAAAAACTCCGCATTGCGCCATCGCTGTTGGTCGGGAATCAGCCAATGTGGGCGGCATTTTGAGCTTGAGACCCGCACAGTTTAGGTGAGATTTTGGGCTTCTTGTCATAAAATCGTTTTGAATGTTGAACACCGACCGGAAAGGGGGAAGAAAACTGAAAAACCTAAAATTGGCTGAAAATTGTTGAAAATAATATGAAATTTCTTCAGAATACAGCCGCCACGTTACCTACGATCACCACGACCACGAGCTACAGTGAGCTATATCCATCCAGCGAGTTCCACCAGGGTCTTCGTCGTCTTCTGAAGCCGCCGGATCACCACCAGAAAAATTGCAGCAGCTTTCAAAGCCATCAGTGTTTTGGATTTTGCTCGTCATGACTCCAGAGTCGCTCAGTATCATGTAATTGCTGTTGGTTTCAAGAGTCTCGGGTCCGCACAGTACAGGTGAGATCATTTGGTTTGAGAAAAAATTTCGAAAATTTCAAAATTGGCCGGAAAAAGCACGAAAAATTAGAATACCTAAAATTGACTCAAAATGTCTGAGAATGATTTCAAATTGTTCCAGAATGCAATCACCTCACCGTCTTCAAGGATCAGCAGGACACCCATGACCACAAGCTACAGCGATCTTTGAACAACCAGAACCCCCACCAGAAGCCACCGTAACCAATGGATTTCTAAGAGACACTACAGTATTCCAGGAACTACACAGAGCGGCATCATTAAAACTTCCAATTACAATAATGCAGCAATCCTACCTACAGTATACTAACATCCACATCCAGCCTTGTTAAGAACTTTAAAATAAATATAAACAAGTCTAGGTTCCACGAAATTCGACTTTTCGAAGGTCCATGCGCCTTTAAACTAAATATTCGAAATTCATGAAACTTCTATTAGGTTGTTCGGAAAGTCCTTTCCATTTTTAGCGTCAGATTCATTCGATATAAAAAAAGGTCAAAACGATGTCAGATAAATCGAAGATAATGACCATTGTTATCAGTGACTATCTGCCAACGTCCCACCAAATTGTGGATGCCTTTCTTCCAGAACTCCGGTCACAGCGCATTGAAAATCAGGTCAACCCATTTTTGACATCATGCTTTGAAGTGAATTTTTTTCAATCAAGATGTCGGTAGAAATGGCTGGATAGGGGGTAGTCAGACAGTACAAGGTTTGGACTATACTGTAGATAAGACAGAACCGTTTAGCCGTATCCAGTGAGATCGGTCTTCGTTTTCCTTCCCGCATGAGGTTGCGAATTTCGATTTTGAAAATAAACCTTTGTGTTTCTCTCCAATGGAGATCCACATGGAGTCTGAGTTATGTCACCTGACAAAAATAGGTATCGGTCATAAAAGTGACACCATTATCTGGCAGCTCTCAATACTCTACTCCTTGGTAGACATCCATGCCGAAAACATCCCATTTTTAACGTTAATTTCACGTTTCGGGACGTCTGGTGGTTGAGTGCCTTTGTCAACCCACTTGAATTGTTGTTTATAGTAATCATACATTACCCATTTATCGCCACTAGCAGGGTTGCAATCTGACGGGCTGGCCGGCCCGAGGGAAAAAAACCAGGGCCCGGTCCGGCCCGGCCGGCCGGCAATTAATTATTATTTGAACGCGCGCCATTTTTATTTGCAACGATGCTCCGATATGACGAGGCGCGCGAAGCCATGTGTGAGACTACGTTCAGCACTGCGTCGTTTTTGTTAGATAAAACAAGAACAAGATTACTGTACAAGCGTGTGGAGATGGTCGTTCTGGGTTCGCAAATAGCCACGAAATTTCCACACTGGCTCGACTGATTCTCTCACTAATTGTAGTGATTTTTCTAGTTAATTTTATGTTACTTTTCTATCTTTTTTGTTGGATTGGTTGATATGAGCTTTAATTTTCTCCCCCCGGTTTCCATTTCTTTGTTTCCCCTTGTTCATTTATACGGTTTTTACATTGTTATGCTACTTGTTAAGAAATAAATTCAAATAATTCTTCAATAATTTCTGTTTTTTCTTAAATTCGAACGGGCCGAACCGGCCGAACCGGCCGGGCCGGGCCGGGCCGGAGAAAAAATAATCTTGAAACGAAAAATTGAGAATGTTGAGTTTTCAAAGTTTTAGTGTCCAATTTGTATTTCAATTTCAGAAAAAAAGGCACATTCTATGGTCAAGGCTCTCTTCAATTACCAATTTCGTGTGTCCAGATAAGGATGGAGAAACAGCCGGTGATACTTCCGCAATACGATCCAGAGACATATTTCAAGTTGATAATGCCCAGGAGCTACCAAATGTTCTTCGGAAATAGAGAATTAGAATCAACAATATCAAATCAACAAACAAATTTAGGAGAGAGGATCCTACATTTCGGTTCATTTTCCATGATTTTATGGTGGAGATATCAAGGTTTGTGAATTTTGGATTTTAGGTCATAACTCGGCCAGTTTTTGTCCGAATTAACTGGCAATCCTTTATTAGTTTTGGTCAAAGCTGGGTTAATTTTGGTTAAATTCTTATTTGGGTTAATTTTTTGAGCTCGCCCTGTCTTCAGCTTCAAAATGAGTATAAACAAGACTAGTTTTCATGAATTTTGATTTTTGAGTTTAAAGAGATGTTTAAAGGCGCATGCACACTTGAAAAGTCGAATTTTCGGGAACCTAGTCTTGTTTATACTCGTTCTAAAGTTAAAGTCATAGTACATTTGATTTTCTATTTACTTTTCAGAACTCATATCCGCAAAATTCTTGTGAAATCGAGAGCTACATTGAAGGGCATTTCCAAAGATCCATGGATGGTGGGAGGAGAGGCACAAGTGAAGGAAATCAAGAAACCAAAAATCCCGAAACAGTCAAAGTTCTCGAAACAGTGGAAAGAGAAAGCCTGAAGAGAGAAAGCAAGAGAAAGAAGCTACCGAAAATGCAGAAGATTTACTCTATTCTATTCCAATGTTTTTTAATGACTAGAATGAATAAAAAATGAAAAATTAAAAAATTTTATGTTTTGGAAAAGTATGAATAAATCGAATATATTAGGTTGTTCGGAAAGTCCTTTCCACTTTTGATATGTTGTTTTCAAACTTCGTTTTCTTGAAGGGGATAAAAACGAGGAAGGAGTTTCTCGACCTTCAACGCCTCCTTCACCTTCTTCAGACAATTCGTACGGATCTTCTTTTGCTTTCTAATACAATCCTTCGAAGTCTCCCTTTTTTTCGGACAGCTCTCACCATCCATCGAATCAGTCAGGCTTCGGATATTTGCATTGTATTCTTCTTTTTTCTGTCGGAGCCTCCTAGCATTCTCCAACGCCTTCTCGTGTGCATTGTTGGCACTGAGGTGTTGTCGTCGATCTGAAATCGGAATTATCTTATTGTTTTAACATTCTGGCGCATCGGATGAGTGAAACAAGACAAACTAACAAGGGGACCTTTTAAGTTGACCCTAAATTTTTGAATTTTTGAATTTTTGAATTTTTGAATTTTTGAATTGTTGAATTTTTGAATTTTCTCGAATTTTCTCGAATTTTCTCGAATTTTCTCGAATTTTCTCGAATTTTCTCGAATTTTCTCGAATTAATTTTCGGAATTTTCTTGAATTTTCGGAATTTTCTCGAATTAATTTTCGGAATTTTCTCGAATTTTCTCGAATTTTCGGAATTTTCTGAACTTTTGGATTTTCTGAACTTTTCTGGATTTTTAGTATTTTCTGAACTTTTCTGGATTTTCTGGAATTTCCCATTTTTCTCGAAATTTTGAATTTTCTCGAATTTTCGGAATTTTTGAATTTTCTGGAATTTTCCAATTTTCTCGGGTAAAATTGATAGATTTTCATGAATTTCGTACAAAAATTTGTCTAATTTTCGATGACGAAATACGGGAAAAATGACCGGAAAAATAGAAGGGCCCCCTCTAATTGAAGCGTCTCTGTAATAGAAGGGCCCTCCGGAGGTACCTTGGAAAAATAGAGAAGCGCGGCCCTTCTAATACAGGTTTTACGGTAGTTTGACGTGACTTTCAAAAAAAGTGTGATCCGCGAAGCGACGAACGAAATAAAAAATAGGTCAACTCGCGCCGGAGGCTCGCAAACAGGCTGGTGTTAAATAAAATATGTGTTACCGAGTGAATGTTTGAATCATGGAATTCAAAATTTCGTCCTTCTCCCGTCCAGTGTAGAAATCTCCTTCGATTGTTCGGACTCGATCCTTGAGATTCTTGACAATAACGACGGCAATTCTCGTGTTTTCTGAAATCCGGACGTATTTCATTAGAAAAATGTTCAATGCAAAGCTGCTTGCAACGAACCATCATTCTTGCCAACTCCTCGCCGAAGAAGAACCACGAATCCCAGAAGTGTGCCATCATACTCCCCAATCCAATGATTTCGGCAGTATTCTTCAAAGTTTCTTATCCTAAAAATACAGTACCGGTCAATAAGATATACCTACATACAAAACATATTTTTCAGTTTTGATCATTTTCAAGAGTTTGGAGCTCTCAGACCTACATTGAAAACTTTGGGTTCACAGAATTTTTTGAAAGATCCTAGTGTTTCAGCTACCGTAAAACCTCTAATAGAACGACACCCGGATCGTCCACTTTGAGCCTATATATCTCATTTTCTGTGAAAGATATCAAAAAGTGGCTAACTAGTAAAATGTTGCTGATATCCTGATAAACATTTTACTAGTTAACCACTTTTTAATATCTTTCAAAAGAAGCGAGATATATAGGCTCAAAGTGGACGATCCGGGTGTCGTTCTATTAGAGGTTTTACGATATTTCCAGATTTTTGTAGCTGAAAAACTAGGAATTTTCAAAAAGACTGAAACCGCCAAAATACGTCCAAATATAGATTTTCCCTCGGCTCAAAACAGATTGAAAAAAATCTTTTTGAGTGAAAAGTGACTGAAAATTTCTCTGACGAAAATCCGCTTAAAATGATCTATCATATTTTTTAGGATAAAATGATTCGAAATAGTTTAATAGAACTTTAGGCTAGAAACATGGGATTTTTGAGCTCTACAGTATACCAATTCGAACTCACCCATATTTTCACAAAGTTCATCAACTTTGATATCTCTCTTTTCGACCGCATTGTTGAACTCTTTGATTCCTTCATTCATAAAGATAAAGTCTTCAAGGGGGTCAAGTTGGAACAGAATAGAATATTCTAGAGATCAGAATAGAAGTAGCGAATTTTCAGAAAAAATCAATAGGAATAGAATGAATACTAAAGTTAGGCACCTGGGGGTATTTATAGGGAGGGGGCGGAGTCAAATGCAGTTGGCCAGGTGCCAGGTGGTGTCAGGGAGACAGGTGTGACATTTTGGGGGTGATTAGGGTAATAAAAAGTTTTGAAGGAGTACTTGAAAGGTATTTAAGAGGTGCTGACACCATCTTTATGACAGTAATTTTGTGATTACTGTAGTTTTTCCCAGGAGAAATGTGGAGAAATGTGTTCAGATCCATTGGAGGTTATAGTGTGTTTTTAAAAAAATTTCAGCATAGTTTTCAGACTCTAAAAATGAACGAAAATCGATTTTTGAACCGGTTTTTGAAGCCAAACGTCGTTCAAATCGGCCCAACATGATTGAAAGTTGGCCATTTTCCAACAATTTTCCTCACCAATTATCCCCGAAATTTATACAATTTTTTCAGGAAAAAAAAATTACACTGTTTCAATGTTTACAATTTTTCTGACCAAGCTATTCCTAAAAAATGTAAATTTTGAAAATCTAAAGGAGCGATTTGAGGCCCCCCGGACTTTGAATTTTGAGCCAATTCATCTCGTTCCTTGTCAAAGATTTAGAAAAATTGTCAACTGATAAATTGTTTATCATAATATCATCAATATTTTATCAGTTGACACATTTTTGATATTTTGCATTGGAGTTAAGATAATTGAGCTCAAACTTGACTCGACAAAAATACAGAAATTTCAATATGAAATCTATATTTTCGATGTTGAGAATTATCTGGAAACTTTCAATGAGCAATTTTTCTAGAAAAGGTTGAAATCTGGGCAAATCCGATACTTTTGCAATCTGCGCTTTTGCAGAAGAGCTCTTCGTGACCTACACTCCGAAGTTAAGATCAATCAAAAATATCGATTTTCAACAAATCTATATTCCCCTTGCTGTCGACCGCTACGCCGACACGCGACGCTCCCAAACTAAGCTCGATGCCAAATTTCGAATTCCCACAATCAAGCACCCTTCAAAAAGCTCTTATTATTTCCAATAATCCATGTGAAAACGTGCATTTCTGCTGGGAAAAACTACAGTAATCACCAGATTAATGTCATAAAAATGGTAAGAAAAGGGGAGAAATGCCACTTTTTAAGTACCCTCTCCAAACTTTTTATTACCCTAATTACCCCCCATTATGTCACACCTGTCTCCCTGACACCACCTGGCACCTGGCTAATTGAATTAGGCTCCGCCCCCTCCCTATAAATACCCCCAGGTGCCTAACTTTAGTATTCATTCTATTCCCCCTAATTCAATATTTTTCCCAGACGTCTTTTTGTATGGACGTCGGAAATCTATTCCCTTTGATTTTTCTGGAAACTCTACCATCCCTATTCTAGTTCTACTTTCTAGAACATTCTATATATTCTTCTGACTCTTGAGCTAGTTTTTTGTCTTCATCGACGCCGTCACCGTCGATACCTTGTCTTCATCGAAATCAGCGACACCTTCGTTATCGTCATCTTAACCTTGAAATCAAAAAAAGTTGAAGAATGTCCTGAAGGTGACGGAAGACGACCTTCTTGCCATGGAACTTGAAATAGAAGAAAATAAGAAATGGAAAGAGAAAAAGAAAGCCGAAGAGGAGAAAATGAAGAAAAAAGAAAGGTCAGCAGCAGCTGAAAGAGGATAATGAGAAGAAAGTTCCAGACGAGAATCGAGAGACTATTCCAGAAGAGGACAAAAAGGAGGTGACCGTGGAGGAGATGAAGGAATACCGAGAAGCATTATCTATGAGTTAGTTACATTTTTCTCACAAAATAACTGTAGTGAACGGGGATGACTTCTGAAGTCTGCAAATTCTAAATTATCACTCTGACTAGGGGATGGTCAGAACTTACCTCACGATCGAGGAATACCAATGGATTCATCGGAATGAAGGTCATTCACTGGTTCCAAAACAGTTTTCAAAATTTGCTAAATGGCTCGGAGAGCCGAGATATTTGTTCTCCAAAATAGACCAATAAACCATGTAAATTCAACTTTTGCCCCCAGTTCCCTCTCCCCACTTCCCTCTCACAAACACCGTTTCTTAGCCGTCACCATTCACCATTGCAACGTGTGGTCTGGTGGCCGAGTGGTGTGCGCGTTTGTCTGGCAATCTGCTTTTGCGGGTTCGAACCCACCTTCTTTTGAACTTTTTGTTTTTGCAGTTTTTGGTCATTTATCGCTTTTTTTTTACTTCTTGCGGTGTTTTCATAGTTTTTTGACCAATTGGTCAGGAAAAAATTTCGAAATTTCAAAATATTAGAAATTCTTCAAAATTCCAGGCTAGTTTCCTATTTGTACAAAAAACTATGAAAACACCGTAAGAAGTGAAAAAAAAAAACGATAAATGACCAAAAACTGCAAAAACAAAAAGTTTAAAAGACGGTGGGTTCGAACCCGCAAAAGCAGATTGCCAGACAAACGCACGCGCCACTCGGCCACCAGACCACACGTTGCAATGGTGAATGGTGACGGCTAAGAAACGGTGTTTGTGAGAGGGAAGTAGGGAGGGGGAACTGGGGGCAAAAGTTGAATTTACATGGTTTATTGGTCTATTTTGGAGAACAAATATCTCGGCTCTCCGGGCCATTTAGCAAATTTTGAAAATTTTTGTAGTGAACGGGATGACTTCTGAAGTCTGCAAATTCTAAATTATCACTCTGAGATCAGTGAATTCAAAAAAATATTACAGGAGCAGCCGTCCAAGCATTCGAGGAACAGAGTATTAGACACAAGGAGCAACAAATGATCACCAAAAAATGTGAAGGGATTCTGTGCTTCAATAAAGAAGCTGAAAGGTCAGTGATTGATCTTTTTCTAGTTGATTCCAAATAATCGAATTTCAGGAAAGAAGCACTCGAACTCGCTGGTGGTCCCGTTCGACCACCGGGAGCCAAAAGAGGTGACGAATCAAAGGGACATAGACAGCGGGCACTTGTTGAATATCCGAATTCGTGAAGCAAAGAAGGCAGATGGCTCCTGCAACATGTTTTTGGCTGCAGTCTTTGGAACATTCCAGGAGCTTTGCTTCACTGAAGTCGGACCAACACTCCTAGAACTATTTGGAAGGACGGGCCGCAAAACATATCTGGCAAGAGAAGAACTCTTTATTAAAACACTTTTTACCGACCAAGGCAAAATTCTCAAGTTCGATGGGTATTAATTTTGTATTCATTTTTTCGTCGCGAATTTTCCTTGGTTAATAAATTTTTTTTTGGGACAAACGTTTTTTTATTATTCGCGAAGAAGAGATTTAAGCCCATATATCTCGTTTCCTGGGAAAGATATCTAAAAGTGGTCAACAGACAAACTATTAACCATAATGTGATAAACATTTTGTTGGTTTACCAGTTTTTGATATCTCTTACAGGAGTTGAGATACATGGACTCAAAGTTCAACTCGTTGAGGCGCCCCTCTCATTCGAAGTCGAAGTTAGCCAGCTAGAGCGATGGTACTTTAGACGTCTCCTATTTAAAACTCTGACAACTAAAATAGATCGATTTTTAAAGTATTTTGTAGAGCTTGAAAAGAGCTACAAAATGATATAAAAAACTACAAATCTAGAAGTCTCGCGAAACAGCGTACAAACGATTAAAACATCTAGAGCTACGAGCAACATTCATTATTTGAACGTCTCAAAACCCAAGTATGTCTCACTGAAATTTTCCCAATTTTATATCATTTTGTAACTCTTTTTAAGCTTTACAAAATGACCTATAAGTTAATATATTTATTCCCCACGGTTTGAAATAGGAGGCGTTCAATTTACAGTAACCCTAGGTGGCTAAATTTGAAGGAGAGGCACCCCCGAGGACCTAAACTTTGAGCCGATATATCTCGTTTCCTATAGAAGATATCAAGAAGCCGTTCACTGATAAAATATTTATCACTTTATGATGAATATTCAGCTGGTTGACCACATTTTGATATTTCTTACAGCAAATGAGATATATGGGATCAACCCAAGTATGTCTCACTGAAATTTTCCCAATTTCATATCATTTTGTAGCTCTTTTTAAGCTCTACAAAATGACCTAAAAGTTGATATGTTTATTAGTTAATATATTATAAAAAACAAAACTGTATGAAATTCAAAATTGCGCTTCCCGTACCACACAATTAAACGGTTTCTCATTAGTATGTCCTCTCATATGTTTCGCCATCTTTTGATAGGCATCAAACGGTTCCGTTCGCGTACATCCCGCCCATCGACACTTGTAGAATTCCGTCGGGTCACTGTCAAGATTCCGTCGGGTTATCGTATCGTCAAGAACATGGTTTTTGACATGCTTGTAGAATTTCTGGAAAAATACGGAATTCTAGAAAGAAATCTGAAAATTATAAAATATCTGACCTTATTCTTCGAGAAAACTGTCCCACAAGAATTCCAATTGCACACTGGCTTCTCTTCTTCGACATCGTCATCGTCGTCTCCAGAATCTTCAACGACTTCTGACGCCTTCTTCTGATGCCTGTCCGTCTGGAGTGTGCCTCGAGGACGGCCCTAAAATTTTAGATTTTTTGGGAGCTTTCTAGACGCTTCCAGACGCTTCTAGGCGGTTTCAGATATTTCTAGAAGCTTTTCAAGTCTTCCAAAAATTGTCTAGACGCTTCTAGAAGCTTCTAAAATTTTTCAGATTCTTGTGAATCCTTCTTGGTGGTTCTGGAAACTTTCAAACGCTTCTAGACACCTCTAGATTCTTCTAGAAGCATCAAGAGCTTCTAAAATCCCCAAGAACCATTCCAGACTCTTCTAGATTCTTCTAAAATCTTCTAGAATCTCCCAACTTCTTCTAGAATCTTTCAGGTACTGCTAGACGTTTCTAAAAGTTTCTAGAGTTTTCCGGATTCTTTGAGACGCTTCCAGAACCTCGAAACCCTTCTAGAATGTTTCAGATTCTTCAAGAATCCTCTCTCACCATTTGAACCATTCTGATTGCATCCATATGTCTACTTCTAGCATTTCTCCTCCTCTTAGGCTCAGATTTTTCAGCAAAATCTCGAGATGGCCCTTGTTGAGAGGTCGACGGGACGAGTCTCTGAAAATATCGATGGTGACATGACTTTGGAAGACTATAACTCAGCTCCTATGATAGGTAGAACAATTATAATTTTAGATTTGGAATCAGCGAATTCTAAAGTATCTAGATCCAAAATTTCAGCAAGTTTGGACACTTGGAAGAAGGTCTACGAGTCCGATTTCTTTTGTACAGCTAAAAAAGCGCAGACAACGAGGCGCGTCTAACTGTCTGCGTCTCTTCTAAATTTCAAGTTGCTGTATCTCAGCTTCTAGATGTCCAGTTTTGAAGTTTCTAGCTCATCTAGAAGCCAAGTTACATTCCTTCAAAGTTCTTGGAGAGACGCAGACAGTTAGAGCGTCTCGTTGTCTGCGTCTCTCTGAAACTTCAAATGGCTGTATCTCGGTTCATAGGCATCCTAGAAACTTGATTTTTGTCTCAAAATTAAGCTATTGAAAGGTTCTTCAAAATGATATAAAACTTAGCTCCTGAAAATTTTGAAAAAAATGCTAAATTTGAAATTTAAAAAAAAACAACATACCCGAGTATCATCAAGGTCCGGTGTTTCGATTGGCGGGCGACTCAGAAGCCTAGTAACCCTGGTTTTTGGCACTTCTCTTGGCTCGGGAGATAATAGTTTAGTGATCCGTGTAGCTGGCATGTCCACGGGTACTCTGAAGTCCGGCTCTCTGGTTTCAGACTCTTTCTCCTTTCTTGGCTTCCCTGGACGTCGTTTGGCAATGCTTGGTATCACTGATCTTTGATCTACTAGCACCGTTTTTGATCCATGCACTGGCTTCGGACCTGTGTTGCGATCTGAAAGCTCCGACGAAGCAGCAGCTACCTTTGCTGTACCTGCTGCATGCCGATTTTTGACAACTGAAGGCTTCACGATGCTTGGAACTGGACCTGGCTCGTCAACATCCGGAAAAGAGTTGTCCATACCGTTCCATGTAGGCAGAGTTTCCAAGTCTAAAGGTTCTATGAAGTCCGGCTCTCTAGCTTCAGGCTTTTTATCCTTCAAATTCAGATTCTTCTTCTTTCTTGGCCTTCCTGGACGTCGTTTTGCGGGAATTGGGATCACTGGACCTTGATTTCCTGGTTCTTGTAAGATCACTAATCCTCCAACTGGGACCGTTTTGGATCCTTGACTTCTTGGTACCACCTCCGGCTCTGTCTGCCTCTCTTCTTTGCCTTCTGAAGACTCCAGAAAAGCTTCTTCTCCTGAATCCAAATTTCTAATGTTACCTACTAAACCGTCCGATGGACTAGGAGCTTTTGAAGGCTTCACGATGCTTGGAACTAGAATTTTGGCCCTCTCTGAGGAGCTTGAAGTATCTGGAAGCGCGTTTCCTTTGGATTTTATGATAGCTACTTGGATCGGAGAATCCGCTGGATCTTCTTTTGGCGTAGCTGGCTTGACTGATGGTTCTGGTTCTTCCTGGACAAATGATCTTCTGTTTGTTGAGTTTGGAACATTTGGAACGACCTGGGATCCATTCAGATCGACTAGAAGATCGGAACTTTCTGATCTTTCTCGAAGATCCTTTACTGGAGAACTAGAAGCTATGGGAGTCGCATTATGAGCACACTGATCTAGATCCATGGATTCTGGTCTACCTTGATTGACTAGTCGATCTGAATCTTCTAGAATATTCCCCACTGGAAAATCGGAAGCCTCGGAAAGCACGACTGGCTCCAACTCCTTGGATTTCCTCGCTACTCGGTTGGATATCGACAGCTTTGGATGATCCACTGATTCTTCTAGCATTTTTCTTTGCTCCAATTGGACTTGATTGGTCCATAGCTTTTGTTTAGACGATCTAGCTTGAATATCTCGAAGACTTCCTCCAGCCTTTGGTCCAAAATCCATTGCCATTAGTTTTTCGGCTTCAGTCTGCAATATTTATGAAAACCCTTATCAGCTAGCTAGCTACCAATGAATGCCTTACCTTCTGTTTCTTCTTCCTTTGAGACGATCCTTGGTCCATCTTCATTCCGTCCTTCCTATCCACTTTCTCTCCTTTTTGACTGTTTCCTTGTTCCACGAGCTTATCAGAAGGTCCTGATGTGCCAGCCTGATCTTCTATTTCATCTTCCACTCTCTTTTCTTGGACTGGATCCTTATCATATCCACGAGCCACTCTCATTTCTTCGATGTATTGATCCATGAGTTTGAATCGCGGATCTGGTGCCCTGAAATAATTTAAGTTATAGATTTCTAGCTCAAAAGTTCTATATTTTTAGCTAAAGACTTACTTAGGACCGCCCGGTCGATAATGGTCCAGTGGGAAGAGCCAAGGTCTGCCATGTTTGGGAAGATCCTCTTCGAACACCTCGTACTTCCTGATCCACTCTGGAATTTCTTTGATTACGGCGTGCGGTCCGTACGCTGGTTTTGGAGCTGGAGCTGACTCAGCTGGCGCCTCTGAAGCTTCTGCTTGTTTAGCTAAAGCTTGTTTAGAGTTGTTAATGCTGTTGGCGTTCCGTGTAGCCGGAATTTCCAGGTCCAATGGTTCAATGAAGTCCGCATCTCTAGCTTCAGGCTCTTTATCCTCCAAATTCTGATTCTGCTCCTTTCTTGGTCTTCCTGAACGTCGTTTGGCGGGAATTGGGATTACTTGTTCTTGATCCTTTGGTCCTTGACCCTCTGATTCTTGCTCCTCAGATCCTTGATCCCCTGGGCCCGAAATTTCTCGATCTACTGGAACCGTGCTTGCTTCTTGATTCTCTGGCACTGCCTCCTGACCTGTCTGTCTCTCTGATTTGCCTTCTGATAACTTCGATGGACCAGGAGCTTCCTCTGCTGAAGCTGCTGAATCTAAATTAGGGTCTGAAGGCTTCACGATGCTTGGAACTAGAAGTTTAGCCCTTTTTGAGGCGCTTGAAAAATCTGGAAGCGCGTTTCTCTTGGTTTTCAGGATAGCTAAACGGTTTGAACACTTGAATGGGTCTTCTTTTGGCTCAGCTGGTGGTTCTAGAACTTTCTGGACTGTTGATCTTCTGATTGTTGCATTTGGAACATCTGGAATCGGCTCGGACTTCTTTGCAGGTGTGTCTAGATCTTCTAGTGGATCCAAACCTTCTGATCCTTCTAGTAGATTCTTCACTGAAAAATTGGAAGCTATGGAAGTCGTATTAGGACCCAGATTGACTAGTGGGTCCTCCACTGGAGAATCGGAAGCAATGGAAGCCTCGGAAGTCGAAACCGGAGCATACTGATCTAGATCCATGGATTCCGGTTCATCCAGATTGACTAGCTGATCTGATAGTTCTGATCCTTCTGGAATATCCATCACTGGAAAATCGGAAGCCTCGGAAAGCACGACTGGCTCCAACTCCTTGGATTTCCTCGCTACTCGGTTGGATATCGACAGCTTTGGATGATCCACTGATTCTTCTAGCATTTTTCTTTGCTCCAATTGGACTTGATTGGTCCATAGCTTTTGTTTAGACGATCTAGCTTGAATATCTCGAAGACTTCCTCCAGCCTTTGGTCCAAAATCCATTGCCATCAGTTTTTCGGCCTCAGTCTGCAATATTTATGAAAACCCTTATCAGCTAGCTAGATACCAATGAATGCCTTACCTTCTGTTTCTTCTTCCTTTGAGACGATCCTTGGTCCATCTTCATTCCGTCCTTCCTATCCACTTTCTCTCCTTTTTGACTGTTTCCTTGTTCCACGAGCTTATCAGAAGGTCCCGATGTGCCAGCTTGATCTTCTATTTTATCTTCGACTCTCTTTTCTTGGACTGGAACCTTATCATATCCACGAGCCAGAGCTGGAGCTTGTTTTGAGTTGTCAATGCTGTTGGCGTTTCGTGTATCCGGAATTTCCAGGTCCAATGGTTCTATGAAGTCCGGATCTCTAGCTTCAGACTCTTTATCCTCCAAATTCTGATTCTTCTTCTTTCTTGGCCTTCCTGGACGTCGTTTCGCGGGAAGTGGAAGCGCTGAACTTTGGTTTTTGTGTTCTAGATCCTCTGATCCTTGACTTCCTGGAACCACCTGCGGCTCTGTCTGTGGCTCTGATCTGCCTTCTGAAGTCTCCGGAACAGCTTCTTCCGCTGAATCCAAATTTCGAATGTTGTCTTCTGACGCCTCCGATGGACCGGGAGCTTCGGAAGGTTCCACGATGATCGAAGGAAGCGCTTTTTCTGCTGGATCTGACTCATTTGGATCTTTTGGAGCTTCTGCCGGGAAGTTCTCGCTCCTCCATTCGTTCATTTTCCTTAGCTGCTCCTCATTCAACACATGAATTCCACAATGTTCATCGCCTCCCAGTGGTCCGCCTTTTGAAAATTCCAAAATTGCTCCGATCCTCTCTATGCATGCATTTTTGGCATTTTCGAAAAGATCCGGTGGCACATCCACATCTTCTAGATCACCCATCAATGTTAGTTCTACTTGTGACAATGCAGATATCCTTTTGTATTCGTCCTGATCTGAAATTTTAAAATTTCAATGAAATTCATAAAATTTAGGTCCAAAAGTTCCCAAAGGAAACATTTTTCGAACATTTCAACCCCTATTTTTGAATTTCCCGCCCCTGAAAACGCTCAAAAAAAGCTTTAAAACCGAATTGCCACCGGTGGGGTTTGAACTTGGGACCCCCAGATTGAAACTTGAAAACCCCACTAGGCCATCTGAGTTCTTTTTTTGAATAACCGACTTTTTATGGGTAGAAAGTTGTTTTTTGGGTCATATTGTGGGATTTGAAGGGTCCCGGGTGTGTTTTTGAGTGTGAAAATCATGATTTTCGAGGTTTTCAATCCTAAAACTTGGAAATTTTGAAAATCCATATTTTAGGTCCAAAACTTCCCAAAACGAACAATTTTTGAACTTTTTAACCTCTATTTGCAAATTTTCCGCTCTGGAAAACCCCTAAAAACGGTTTTAAAAGACAAGTTGGCAGCGGTGGAACTCGAACTTGGGACCTCTAGATTGAAACTTTCGGTTGAAAATGCCACTAGGCCATCCGAGCACTTTTTCGAATAAATCAAAAAATCGACTTTTCGGATGGAAATGCAGGGTTTTTAGGGGTTTCGAAAGTGTTTTTTTAGTGCAAAAATCATGATTTTCATCTTAAAATTCAAAATAGAGAAATTATTTTTTGGAAAAATTCAGGACCAAAATATTCGAGTTTTAGAGCTGAAAATCTCGAAATTCATGATTTTTGCACTCAAAAATATTTTCAGGACCCTTCAAAATCCGCAATTTGTCCTTTTCGAAAAATTACTCGCATGGCCTAGTGGGATTTTGAGCCGAAATATTTGATCTAATGGTCCCCGGTTCAAACTCCACAGGTGGCAATTTGAAAATATGTTTTTGAGGTTTTCAGGTGCGGGGAAATTCAGAAGTAGAGATTAAAACAATTTCGAAAAATCTCTATTTTGGGACATTTCAGACCAAAATATAATAATTATTTTAGAAATTTTAAAGGTTTAGGACTGAAAACCTTGAAAATAGTGATTTTTTCCATACTTGTAATCCGGGCCTTCGCGGGCCCTGCCATA